GAAAGTGTAGGTTCAACATAATTCCGAAATGACGATATAAGTAGACAAATTATTCCGTGTTAATATGAGCCTGACTATTTAAATTATAATTTGACAAGAAGGTGAGAGCAAAGTTGAAATTCTGCATAGAAATAAGAATAGATTAGAGATAGAATCCAATATCGAACAGCGGAATGAATTTATACATAGTATGGTGGAAATTTCAAGAGTGGGATGAGTGAGAAGTCAGAAAGGAAAATTATGAGAGAGACAAACAACTGATTCCAATTTGTTTCCATGCAGATTTTGTTCACACCTGTAATTCCTTCTATCCCTGCTTCTCTAAGCCTCTTTTAATTCATATCAAGTTGAAAATAATTATCACCTTTTATTCGCCTTTAAAACTATTATTTCTCCAGTTATCAAATATTAATTTTGCATACGTTGTAACTGTTTTCTAATCAACCCTATGCAATCTTGTCTCTAAGCCCCTTGTAATCTATATTCGTACCTTCAAACTTTCATATCAAGTTGAAAATTATTATCACCTTCGTTACTATTTGGAATTAATTCAACAAGTAATAATTGTATCCATGTAAAATAATGTATATAAATGCGATTGTACAGCACCTTTTGAGAATGAAGTCGCCTATAAGATGAGATATCTTTGCTGAACTTCCTGTTCTTTTACAAACAATTAAGTAAATTTGAAAAAAATTAATAGTGAGTTCAACCCAGTAAATGAAAGGAGACCAGTAGTTCAGCAAAGAGTCTCTTTTTGGCAAATTAAATTTCACAGCTGTACAATTGCAAACACATATATATGGTTATTTTGTAAGCGTGAATCATCTCACCAACAAACATCTCCTTCAAAGTAATCTATAAAGTGAAGAACAACCTACCGAAGACAATACGTTTCCATCTTCTTTGCGTTGCAGAAGCCCTAGCAATTCAGTTGGAAGAACCAGAACTATTAATGATAATAACAGCTTTATTCCAAACGGTATTTGTGGTACAGGTATGGAATTTTCAGCGTGCATTACAGTATATTGCATCTAATTACCTCATAAATTATATAAGATTTTTAAAAATCAAAGATAAATAAATAAAAATAAGTTATAAAAAATAAAAATTAAGAAAAAACAGCGTAGAGTATTACATTTCAAACAATGCACCACAGGATTTGAAATATAAAGTTGATGTGTGATAGAAGATGAGAACAACAGAGTAATAGTAACGAGGAAAGGAAAACAAAATCTAATGGGACTGTTTGTTAGAGTGCCGCAGTAAGTTTATCGTGTCATACCTAACGGATTTCTCATCACATAACAGCTGTGCCAGATATGGTGTTGTGGAGTTTTTGTATTTGGTAGTCCTAGCATATAGCCTCCTATAGCTGCTTCTAGTTCTACCAGATGAAATGCAAGGAGATAGATGCGTATAGAGAGGATGCTCGGGGTCCGACAATATTGTATTCGCTAGTTTCTTACATAACAATATGTCTATCTACAATAGTGTTCACCAGTTGGTTTAACGATATCCCACTTGCCCTACTAACAGCTTTTAGTGCCCTTCTCAGCGAAGCAAAGTCTTTCTTAAGTAGTCCAGGAAAGACTAATGGGGAGCAGTAAAGGAGGATGGGTAGAATACAAGAATTTACAAATTGAGAAAGTAAAGACTGCTTTATACCAGACTGCCTAAATTTCCTAATGTAGAACGTTAAGCGAAACATCATTCTAGTAACTAGCAAGATGTGGGAAGACCAGGAAAGATCGGTGGAAAAACTCAGCCCAAGGTACTTGACATTAGATGTATTTTCAACCTCTGTGCAGTTAATGATAGTGGGGCCATGTGAGTAAGTAGTTGCTGTGGGTCACATTTACGTCTGAAAGTAAAACTGACTACCTGATATTTAGACGGATTAAGCTTAAGTCCGTTTGAAGAGGACCACTGACTAATTTCCGACAGAAAGCTATTTAATTTGGAACAATCTGACTGAGGTTGACAGGCATAGAAACGAGAGGTCATCGGCATACTTAACAAAAGTGGCTACATCAGAATGAGGCAGTCATGTAAGAAAAACGAAACAGAAAGGAGAAGAACAGCACCTTGAGGAACACCAGCTAAAGTAATGAGTAGTGGAGGATTTTCCATTGTACATGTACAAAATAAAATTATTCAGCCACTTCTACTGTCATGGTAACAACTCCGTTGATTTGACTTAACTTTTGCTTGTTTACTTGTTTTTTTCTAGCTACTTAAAACTTCTTTCGTAATTCCGTAAGTTATTTTGTTTCCATGTACACCCTGAGCACAAGTCTTTCATCAAACTATTCACGTTATTACATAACTCTTCTTAAACTATCGTTTTTAACAACTCATCACTTTTGTTACTACCCTCTTATTTCAACATTCAACAGCTCTGAACGCTTTTTGTATTACATAACTCCACCGAAAACCTACTAATTGTGTCTGTGCCTGAAAGGAAGCAAATATATTTGCGATTATCAGACGTATTGTTAATGCTGGACATCTCGTAGAGATTTCTAAGTCCTTCAAAATATTAAGTAGACAAAGGACAGCAAATTTACTATGATCTACCGAAGCGATCGCAATCAAATGATTCAAACCAACCAGAGTTATGCGTACAGAAAGACAGCGTGATTAATGTCTCACTCCGTCGGGGTAACTGAATTTTGATTTTGATCACATTAATTAGTCATCTAGTTCAGTGATCTCAACTCATTACTGAACAAATCTCAATCTTATAAATGGTAACCGCTTTTGTTTGTTGAGTTGCTATGCGAACCTACAAGCTAACACTGTTCTGTTAATTAATTTTTTCTGTTTTCTGTGTTACCACTCCCCCCTCTTTTCTACTTTGACGGTGTATATATTGTAATGCTTCCTTTTCTGATGCGTCAATTTTATAGTATTTCTTCTCTACTACTACCACTTAAACATTAAAGTATGTTATTATCATCTCTATAACTATTGTTATTTCAGGTAGTCAGTGGCAGCTGATGAGAACCTGAATTCGCCGAAATGAGACTCTTCACTGAACTACTGGTCTTCTCTCTACTAATGTTTGAATGGGGATTTTCGATAAATCAATAAATGAAGATCACATAAGCAACCAAAACGCTCAAAAAAAAGAACAAAACATTTACAGTTACCAGGGTTGTAGAGATCAGTGTCACACTATCTTTCTGTATACAGAGGTTGGGTTTAAATTTTGGTGACTGTAATGACTTCTACAAAACAAAGTCCCTAGAGTTTTCTTTGTATTTAGATTATTTTGATTACAGCTTGATTCCACACTGTATTTTTGGGACAAGTATGGAATTTCCAGCATGTGATATCGGTAGCCCAAATTTTGCAGGCTGAACATAGATATCAGATGTGCGTCGGCAGGGAATCGAACCTTGGACCATGTGTATGGTCGGCGAGAGTTCTAAGCACTGTGCCACCGACGCAGAGTCACTTTAATGTCCCGTATCAAATCGGGTATATGGTGAATGCGATTGAGAACACTTTACTGCCTGTCATGTGGAGAGTTTTAGGTATATGCTTACAAAATCTAGTAGACGCTCTCCTCTTAATTCTTCCATGTACTTGTTACCGCAATTTTAAGTCAATTGGTAAATGTAGTTACAGTTGACATGAGCACGATAAGTGTCTATCTTCGACTGCATTGATGAGCATAAATCATCCTATCATATTCTGCAATTGTTTCTCCAATTCTGACATTTTTATTTTTTTTTTATTCCACTTTTTTGGATGATTTGCCAATTGCCGTGTGCGTCGGCGTGGGTTCGAACCCCGGACCATGTGCATGGTCGGCGAGAGTCCTAACCACTGTGCCACCGACGCACATGAATATATGTGCTAGCAGACGCCCAACAGGGCTCCCTAGCACAACACCATCGATCTGTTTGTGTGAAGACTTACCTTCCTACAAAAAGCTATATAGACGTTTTGTAGATGATGCACTCATTATTGGTAATAATAGTAAATCTATTGTGAAAACTTTGTTACTATCTTTAATCATATTCATCCAAATATCCGATTGACTTTCTTACTCGAATTGAATAACAAACTCGGTTTCCTGGATATTACAATGACTAGGAGAGATGATGGAACGACTCAACGATCTATTTTTCGTAAACAGAGATGGAGTGGATAATATCTTCATTTTACCAGTTTTATTCCTATCCAGTATAAACGTTCCCTAGTAAAATGTTTGTTCTCAAGTGCCCGAAAAATATGCACAGGTGACACATTGATGGATGAACTTTGACATATAAATTCAGTTTTATTAGCTAACGGTTATCCGGAAAACTTTATCAATTGTCACAGTAAGGATAAATCACATCTTGTAAAGACAACTTCTGTACCAAAGAAAGCTATATTTACTAACCTACCATTCAAGGGTGACCAGACTATGCATTTGACAGCTCAAAGACTTTGATCAGACATTAAACTTACATTCTACGCCAAATCTCTTTCCCTCACGTGCCCAACATTTTCGACCTCTGTACCTAGGATTAGAGGATGAAATTCTGTGAACTCCACTTTAAACTGTATCTACAAGTTCACCTACAGTTGCGGCGACACCTATATAGGTAGAACCAATAGAATATTCCAATGTGGTCGTCGGAAAGAACATGTTCCAAAATAATTATTAAAACATATAGAAAGTCCCAATGCAATTATTAATCTAAATAGAAATCCAGCATCATCCATTGCAAAGCACTTATTAATGTCTGGTCACAAAGTCAGTATTAATGACTGTTTCACAATTATTTCATCATATAACTCTAATTCAAGGTCGGTAATTAAGAGTGATGGAAGCACTTTGGATTAATCGCATACATCCTAGACTATGTGTACAGTCACAACATGAAGACTTTAACCTTCACCTATTTAAATATGATTGGTCATTAGTATGTACTTCTGTTTTATATAACTGAGTGATTATCATATACTTTATTTTATTATGATTGATTCAATTAATTTAGGTATATGTGGACAAGCTGTCGGTGTTCGTCTATATGATGTTTTTGATATACTTGGTCGGTATCGATTTCGTTGGAGATCACCTGATATTCTGTTAAACAGTTCTTCTTATAAAATGTTAAAATGGCGTCCAGTTAAACTGAAGCAGGATGCTTTATATGCAGCACCTCATCAGGTAGATTTTAACTCATGATTTTTACTTTTCTTTTTATCATTGTGATTTTTATTTGGTTATTTTAAGCAAGTAAGTTACAGGGAAAGAGAATCTGTTAGTGTATTACACAATGTGGGAAGCTCACGGAATCGTTCGATGAAGTGAAGACGGGAGTAAGACAAGCTGGCCGCCGAATATTGCCAATGATTTTCTTGATTGCAGTAGATTGGATGATCCGACAGTCAGGGGCGAGCATCGAGGAAACAGGCGTAAAATGGACACACACAAAAAACTCGGAGTATCTGGACTTCGCCGATGATATGTGTCTGATTTCCCATAAATTGAAAGATATGCGAGTGAAAGGTAAGAGGTTGGCGATAGAAGAAGCATCAAAGATAAGACATAGAGAACATAGAGAAAAAGGAGGGGATGAAGATCCCTGCCGAATAGCACCCTCAACAACAACAGACAACAATCTGAAAGAAGCAACCTCCTTCACCTGCCTACACTGGAAGAATCGTTTCAACTACAGGCGACCGGAACTGATGGAGATATCAAAGTAAGGATCGCGAAAGCATGTTAAGCTTTCATTACTCTCAGGTCTGTGTGGAGATCAACAGCACTCCTTAGCATGAAAATGAAAGTAAGATCCGGATTTTCAACCCCAATGTGAAGTGAGTGCTACTATACGGATAGATCAGAGACTTAGTGCATCATAAGGAGCACCTCAAAAACAAACTACAGACCTTCATCAACAACTGTCTTCGCTCAATACTACTCAAGATCAGACGGACATCCAAAAAAGTTCAGCAACAGGGATGTCTGGAAGCGAACCAACCCAACAGGAACCATTGTGCAACAAATATGCAGGAGGAAATTCAGGTGGATTGGATTGTTCATACTCTGAGAAAACAAAGAATCAAGTGACATCACACACCAAGACATTGCTCGGGTGGAACTCGAACGGGAAGCGGCGAGTTGATCGTCAGTGCGAGAATGGGGTGACATGTGAAGAGGAGATGAAAGCATTTGGGCAGACGTGGAGCCATGTGAAAACGTTGGTGGAGAACCGAACGCAATGGAAACGTGCGGCTGAAGTCTTATGTTCCTCTAGGAACTAAAGCAAACAATAATAATAATTACATAACGTACTACTGATTGACTGATTTGAGTAGTTGGACACCATTTACATCCACTAGAAGTGCTCACTAGCCAGTCATATCAAAGCGATTTTAAAACACGAGAAAGTCATTTCGCTCAATTGGGGTATAGCTAATCAGCGATGTATCCGGTCGGATCCATCATTCCTAACGAACTATTTTTACGCATAATTAAAGGCTAAAAGCATCACTTTGCAATTTTTATGCCATTTGCTATTACAAATGAAAAGGTCTTTTATTAAATGCATATTTCACTTACCCCCTTAACACTTGTCTAAATAGGCACATGTGAATAGTCTAAGCTAGCAAAAATAACCTACATTTCTGGTTTATTAGTGAAACAATCATTGAGACAGACAATCATAATAAATTCGGAAGGTAAAAGGTAGAATTGTACTTTCTTGGATATTTCATCTTGGATAGTGTGACCACACTTCTGATGACATCATGATAAAACGTAGGTTTAAGTTAGATTGACCCGGCTGGCAAGTTCTACTGACTGAAATGAGCAATATCCCGATGAAATATATCTATCTACTCAGTGGTGAGCGATGATCAAAGAGAAATACAAGTCGATGCCGTAGCAGGATTCGAACCCCTGCACTGTGAATTATCAGTCTAGCAGCCTACCAGCAGAACTACAAGACCCTGCAGCTAACCCCAAGATGACAGGGATGATAATTGAAATTCATAACTCAGCTGCTGGAGCAATGAACAAGTATTTTGAAAACTTAATGATTAATCACAAACTGACTACAGTTAAAGAACCAATGAAAATCACCACGCAGTATTGGATACATGTTTCATCCTGTTTTGAGATTCTTCAGCAACACGTACCCATCACTCCATCAGAGGTCGAATCCAGGATCATTAGGTTACGAGGTGAGCTTTTTAAGTTACTACTTCAGCTAGTTCACGATCTCCATCCAACTTCATCGGCGAGTATTTATCGTCACTCCCAACTTGGTTGACTCCACTCATCAGGCAACTAACTGACTAGTTTCAAAATATAATTTTACAAGGATGTGCACCAGTTCGAGTAGTCACTATCCCTCCATGTACCACACAAAGTAAGAGAAAGGGGTAAGTGGAGACTGAAATAAGAGATGGTAAACAGATGTGGGAGATAAGGAAAAAGAATAATATTATGTAAGAACAATATATTTTTATTGGATATTATAAATCACAAAGAGTGAATGCCTTTGAGCCAGTCATTGAGAACGATTTGGAACCAAATCATCGACTGTCTCTAGCCTTCATTGGTTCTTACCGTTCCAAGCACCCCGACGATCAGGCAGGCGTCGAGTGCTAGGTAAGTGGGAGGAGAAATCAATAGACGAGGCTGTGAAGTGACATCGATTGAGATGGTTAGGACATATGTTACGTATGCAAGCCTAGCCATCGCCTTCCTAGACAACAGGCAATGTTAGCTGACATAGGATGGATCATGTTGGAAAATAGCTTGTGAATGGTGGTCAAACCAAAACATGTCTTCATCATCACTCAGTGAAATCCACTACAGTTAGTTTAAGCCAGTCACGTAGGAAGTGGTAGACTTCCTGATTGACTAGTTGGGGTCTTCAGAACTGTAAAAACCAATGAAGGCTGGAGACAACTCATGGTGACATGGCTCAAAATCCTCGTTCTCAATGATTGGCTGGCGCAGATGCATCCACTCCTTGTGACTTATAATACCTAATGAAATTATATTGTTCTTCGTTATTACTATTCCTTTTTTCTCATATCCCTTTCTACTGTCTCTGTTTTTGAATCTCTTTTCACTTTCTTCGCTTGCTTTGTGTGCTAAGTGAAGTGTGGCAACTTGAACTGCCGCTAATCGGTGCAAAGTTCTACGTTGAAGACAAACAGTCAGGCATTCTACACCTCCATATGTTGTTGGCCATTTTAAACTAACTGTTGTGGATTTCATTGACTGGCGCAGCCATCTTTTGGTTTGACCACGAATAAACGTTTTCCAACCTGATCAATCCTACGTCAGTAGCCAACATTGCCTGTTGTCGAAGAAGGCAATTAGGATATGATGAAGAAGATTTGTAGCTCAGGTGAATAATTATGATGTAGTTGTGTTTTCTGAGCTGAGGGGTTTTGTCGTGAGGCTTTCACTGATCTTACTAGACAACATTCTCAGCGCGTACTTCAATTGCATGTAAACTTTTCGAATTTCTGCTTACTTCTAACTGAATTGTAGGCTGAGGATGTTGTTTACTAACATAATGAAAGCGTTGCAACTACACTATCCAGTTTAGCGAACACACACACACCAGAAAAAGGAGCTACGTTTCCATGATCGTCTTTGACCAAAACAGTTTCATATGTCATTCGACCCGTTAGGATTATGGAACCCATATACAACATAGATTTCCAATCACGGTTTTCCATATCTCCTAGACAGTAATCCATTATGTCTACTAATCAAATACCTGCAAGCTTCTTAGAAGTCTTCACAACTTTAAATACTTGACAGGCCCAAATACACGAATAACCATCGAAATGCTCAGTTAGTCAGTGAAACCAGATAAATGATAATATATTCATGAACATAAAGTGTTCAATGAAGTGTAAGGACATTTGAAAAGATATCTTGTTAGTTTTAGGCTACGTTAGGGTAAGGTTAAGGTTAGACTTAGGCTAGAAACGCGTTAGGGTTAGGTTAAAGAAAGACTACGGTTAGTTAGGGCTGAGTTAAGAAATGATATGGCATAGCTAAAGTATCCCTAGTTGGAATAAGTGCCATTTGAATGCAAGTGAAATAGAGGCATTTCTGATGCTAAAGGCCGTATATAACAGCATGAAATCATGAAAATACAGTTTTATGTTGCTTAGCTTTAAAACCTAAAGCCTAGACATGACTATGAAGTAACATTTACCTTCACAGACTATCAAGAATTCTGAAGCCATCCAAGTAGATACCTTATGAAAAGTCTACCAATTCACCCAGCGGCCTCCTCAGTGGGTGTCCAATCCACCTCCACTTTCCCCTGCATATTTGTTAATTGGCGATTAGTTCTTGTTTTGTTTCTTCCCATAGTTTCTTGTTGGTGATTCTTTCCGGCCATCTGCTCTTCAGTATAGAACGAAGACACTTGTTGATAAAGGCCTGCGACCTGTTGGAGATATTCTTTGTGACCCGCCCGCCAAGTTTCTGAACCGTATAGAAGAACTCACTGACTTGACGTTTGTATTGAAAATCCTACCGAATTTTGTTGTTGATGCTGAGTGACGAAGATTTACAAATTGGTTTCAGGTTGATGAATGTGTTTCTCGCTCGCCTTCCCGATTCTCGCTCGATTCTCTCGACATTCTCATCCGTTCCGACTTCCTGTAGTTGAGACAATGCTCAGTGCTAGATAAGATAAGATAATAATAGCTTTATTCCAAATCAGTCCTTGTGGTACAGAATGGAATTCTCAGCATTTTTACTACAATATTGCATCCAGTTAGTACATTAACAATAAATAAAGTTCTACATAGATTAAAGTTATCTCAGTCAGTTTTGACAACAACATATTAGCATGTCGGTAGCAAAGCCAAAATTTAAACAGTGTTTGAAGGTGTTAGAAAAGTAGATACTACTAGCATATTTACTGGCGTAAGCGATAGCAAAATGGTCGAGATATACAGAGTGTGAAAGAACGAACAAGAATGTTTTAAGTAGAGTTTGCAAGGAAGAGAGAAACAAAACAGCACATAACAAAAATAAATACAGAATGAAAAAAAGGTAGAGAGAAAACGTTGTACCTGTAAATGATGTGAGTTGGAAAGACGAGATCCATTTGTTCTACTGACTATTTAATAAGTTAAAGGTTTCACGCCTAATGCTTTCTTTATCGCACAGAACAC